ACAACAGGGCATTTCTTCTTTCCCTAAATCCCCAGGCGAATGACCCCTTCCCCTGCAGCTTGCCCATCCCACTTGGACAGGCAGCAGCAAATTCCAGCTCTGGAGCCCTGAGATGGGCTTGGGCAACCTCCCCATCACCAGGTCTGCTCCCGCCAAAGGCCCGGAGCAGCCGTGGCATTTTCAAGCCTTGAAGGGGGACAAGGATCCCCCTTGGTCTCCGCGGACAGCTCGAGGTGTCCAGGTGAGCACCTGCGGTGAGCACAGAGCCGGGGCTCCGTGGCTGTTCTCCCTGTTCACCAAGAGGGGGAAGCAGAGCCCCCTGACCCTCCAGCCCGCGGGGTTTGCACTTAAAATCCCGCTCAAAATGAGGGTCTCCCCACTTCGATGCAATCCCAGTGTTTGTCTCAAAGGGCTCAGAAAAGACTCCCCACGTCCTGCTGTCGGCACAGGCAATGCTGAGGGGCTGCTTTTACAGGATGCCACGCACAGCCTTCACTTGCACCCTCCAAACGCTCACACCCAAATTCTGGGAGCATGGCAAGATCATTCCATGAATATTATTAAAAATATTGAGCTGATCGTTACTTTTTTCTCATGTGGCCTGCAGTAAGTGGTCTTGACATGAGCACTTGGCTACCACAGGTATTTATCTGTGGCCTTCAGACAATACCTTATTGGCACAATATGAATCAGGTGATCTATCTAGTTCCTTTTCCCTCCCAGGGAGGGTAACGAACCCATTACAACGGCCCAATGAAACAAGTGGATTCAAAAAACAAACCTGGAGCGGCCCAGCTCTGTGTCATTGCTCCACATTTTTGCTCAAAATGCTTTGTTTGCCCTGCCCCAAAAAACCCCAGACAATTCCTCTGCTGCACAGAGCTGTTTTTCAGAGTCTGTTGGTCTGTTTTACTCAGCCTAGGAATTAACTCCACATTATTACTGTAGGGTTTCATGCACGGGAGAGGCTGCAAAACACAACTTTTTAAAAAAAAATTAAATAAATAACTAGAAGCCAAAGTTACCACTGAACACCGAAGTTGCAAAAGCTCCAGTTATGCAAGCACACATTTCCTGGGTGTGAACATCTGACACGCAGTAAATGAGGTGGAGAAGGAAGTTAATAAATGAGCACAACCAGCACAGTTGGAAAGTAAGTGGATTTGAGACTTTCTAAATCAAATCAGTCATTCAAAGCCCTGTGCTTGGAGTCAGCCTGTGCACAGCATCTCAGCTCCTCAGCTGTGCACAAATGCCTGCAAGCACCTCTGGAGCACGTGCCAAAGGGGGGAAAAAAGGGCATATAGGGGTTCCTTAGATTCTGTGGGAGAGAAATGAGCATTGCAGGGAGGATTTCCTTATGCCCATTTCAAAACCCTTAACTTATTGCCTTAAAATTAACCCCCTGAACATTTACCCTTCCCTTGAAAGAAAACCCTGGGCTGCCTCCCCCCCTTCCCAGTCTCCACAGGGACTGGCTCCAGTTTGCAGATGCCTCTCTTGCACTGGGGGCACCACATTGCTCCCAATACCCAGATGTGGGTCCCCAGTGATGAGCACAGGGATTATTTGAGCAAGCTGCTGAGGTGGAAGGTGTCCCTGCCCATGGCAGGGGCATGGGACAAGATGGTCCTTAAGGTCCTTTCCAGCCCCAACCAGTGTGATTTTACAATTCTGCATTCCCCACACCCACTGAGTGTGCTTTGGCCAACGCAGCCCTGGACAGGGCTGACCTTCCCTGCTGCCTCCAGACCAGTTCCCCACCCCTTGGGACCTCAGATCCCTTTCAGAATTGCTCTCCTTCTACCACCTTCCCATCCCTTTTTTCCTTTCAATATTTCCCAAATGGATCCCACGCCTCAAATTCATCATATGAACATATTACACCTTTGCCACCTGTCCTTTGGGCTATCCACATCACCACAGCATGTCTTTAGGAAGTGGCATCAGCTTTCCCTCTAAAGAGAAACTCTTTTTGGAAACATCTGAGTGGGATTTAGCCCTGCCAGCCTCCTGGAGTGCAAGTCCAGTCTGCACCCCTGGTGCCAAAACCAAACAAGAGGGACGAGTCTCTTCAGATTTTAGCAAGCAAGGAGATCATTCTGCAACCAGCACATGACTTACTTCAAATTTTCTGAATATTCTGGGCTTTTTTTCTGTATGCCTGTTGCTCTTCATCACTTTTCATCCCCTATCACAATTATATTTGAAAGGTAAACCCTTACTTTGCCCCAAATTCCCTCTGAGAGAAAACATTTCAGCAGTCTGTTGAATCAAGCAGCAAAACCACACTGATGTTTTCAGTGCCTCAATTTGGTCCCCGTTATCAAACTCAGAAAGAAAACCACCCCACAGATCTCCATGGCCAAACTCACTCAAGAAAAACTGACAACAAACCAAGTAACAGGAACTCCACATCCAAAAATAACCACATGTCCATCATTAGTGGTTTGGTTGCTCGTGGGGAATCACAGTTCAACAAGGTCACACTCTGTCGTTCCCTGAGTAGGATTTGATTTTTCAAAGGGAGAACAGATTTAAGCGTGACTTTTAAACTCTTTATGGAGTATAAACCACACATTTGAGTGTTGATGGTTGTGCTGCTTGATTTATTATTACCTGGGTGCATTATTACCTGCTCCTCTGGGGCACAGGGTGTGACTCCTGGGGATGGGCCTGTGCAGAGCCAGGACTTGGACTTGATGATCCATGTGGGTCCCTTCCAACTCAAACCATTCTGATATTCTGTGATATTCTGAGGTGCCTGGACACCAAGGTTTGCCACACGAGGGGGTTTCAGCAGCCAAGGTGGTACCTGTGACAGCAGCAGCCTGTGTTTCCCTCCTCACTGTGTTGCCCCCACAGCCATCAGCAGATGTCAGATCCTGGCGGGGCTGCTTTTCCTTTTCTTCTTTTATTTTTTTCTCTCTCTTTTTTTTTTTTTTTTAAGAATAGCATCTGGTTGGCTCGCTCCCAAGGCTGTTATTCAGCTCCACAGCAGTGGCAGCTGACAAACCAGGCAGCTTCAGCAGCTTTTACCCAAGTTCTGCCTTACCCGCCTTTTCCAGGCACTACCTAAATTTTATTCCCGTGCAACCTCTTATTTACACGACCACTTCTTTTTTTTGTTTGTTTTTTAACTTCCAGAGGGACCCTTTGCCAGAGTGGGGTAAAATAGAAACGACAAGAACCACCCCTGGTGTGAGGAGATGGGAACAAGTTGTGCCTCGGGACAGGGAGCCCGAGCAGCAACCCAGGACCCGCGGTCGTTGTGCAACACAAGGCTGGACACAGCCTGGCCAAGCCCAGCACTGGGACCAAACAGCACTTCTGCCACGGGGCCAGCGCTGGAAAAAGCTCATCAGCACGAAGAAAGTTCATAAAAACACGCAAAGGATGCTGGCAAGGCTTCCCTCCCTCCCCCCAGAGCAGCACAGGAGTGTAACGCAAACACCACCAACATTTTTAATGCCTTTTTTTTTTTTTTAATAAAAAGTAGCACATGGCCAAAAACCAAGCCAGGCCAGACCCTCGCTATGGGAATCACACCCTGTGACTATTTACAATTAGAGGGGTGTCCAGGCTCACCAGCCAGTTCTCAGCCTGTTCATACGTGCCACGGACACATTCGGGTGTCTCGGGTTCAGCCTGTCTTCAAGGACAAATGTAACACATTTATAGGTGCCAAACATCTCATCTGCACGAGACTCAGTGTTTAAAACCTGCCAATCATGAGCAGAAAGGGCTGAACGAGGTGTTTTCCTGTGATTGCCCACCAAGTGGGATCAATATCCCCTCTCTCATTGCTGCCAGGGTCAAACCTGCCTTTGAGCTGTATTCTGGAAGCTGGCACCATCCCAATAGTGGGGTTTGGGAGAGCTCCTCAGCCTTCTTCAAAGCTGTCAGGAGCTACTTATCCAAAAGCCAAAGGCATTATCGTGGCAGTTTTTCATTCAAATAGTGACATGGGAGGACATTATGATGTTTTGCCTCTCCCCCACTTGCATGGGGTCCCAAGGGACATTTTTCTGACTTTAAGAACCTCTAACACCTTCCTGTCAATTTATCCCAATGGTTTGGGCTGGAAGGGACCTTAAAGCTCATCCAGTTCCAGCCCCTGCCACGGGCAGGGACACCTTCCACCAGCCCAGGTTGCTCCAAGCCCCGTCCAACCTGGCCTTGGACACTTCCAGGGATCCAGGGGCAGCCACAGCTTCTCTGGGCAACCTGTGCCAGGGCCTCACCGCCCTCACAGCCAAGAATTCCTTCCCAATATCCCAATGCAGTTTATCTTCCAAGGTCTAACCCCAGCCATTTAACCTCACCCACCATGACCCAGCTCTGCCCACCTGCAGGCTGAGCTCTCCTGAAGGTGACACTGGCAGCAGAACAGGGAGATGGTGGCATTTCTCTTTTCCTTTTAATCCCAGCGGCCCAAAATTCCTTCTAATTTACTTCCTTGCCAGTTTTGAACAGCTCCCAGCATCTCATTGGCCCCCGTGGCTCCCTGTTTGCTGTTTCCATCTCCTGCAGACTCTTTGAAGGCTTAGTGTGGTTTCCACTTTGAAGGGAAGTCAAGCTCTCTTGACTTCCCCTCCGTGCCAACCCAGCTTTTTGTGCCAACACAGCCTTCCTGACCAGGCTTTGGACCATCCAGTAAAACATCCCTGAGCAACTCCCCCCACACTGGGACCAACCATCAGCTCCTTCCTATGCCCATGCCCAGTTTCGTTTGGGGCCGAGCCACAGTTTAATAGATCTCATTCGTGCCGGGAGACTTTCCGAGGTGGAATTCCTGTCTGTAATGTTTAGCAATTCCAAGAATATTTTATAATTCTGACAGCCTGCATCACCCTGGAGCCTGCCATGGTAAACACGCTCTCCCCTTTCCCTCTCTTGCAGATGGCAGCTGAGGCAGCCGGGGAGGTTTTGGGTTTGTTCTCTAGCGTGAGCCAAACTATTATTCCTTTTTTTTCCTCTTTTTTTTTTTTTTTTTTTTTCTGGAAGGACATTGACCTGCAGGCACTCAAGAGGATTTTCCCCCTCCCTCTCCAGATTTTCAGAGGTTTGGTGACAGGCACTCTGTTTGCAAGAGGCAGGATCCTGGAGGCCAAGTGCCTTTCTAGGCAGTCTGACATCCCAGGAAAGCCATCCCACCTGATTCCAGCAATGCCACTGGAAACCAGAAGATTGCAGCATTGGCACAAAGTATCTTACAGCTGGTGTGGTATGGGGTAAAGGTTGGACTAGAGACCCCAAGAAGGCTCTTCTGACCTAAATCATCCTCTTATCCCAAGCCCCATCCCCTCTCCTCCACCAGACACCAGATTATTCTTTCTTGTTCTTTGGTGTTTCTGTTGGCTCCACATCATGATGCTCTGCTCCATGGAGGCTTCCTCTTGGAATCCTCTTTTGGAGACAGTCTCCCGCAGCCACATCCTGCTTTAAACCCAGCAAACACGTCTGTCCAAAAGGAGAACAGCTGACATCCCACAGACCCGGGCTCTCCAGGTACATCACTTCCCCCAGGAGCAGCTCCCTTCTTCCTTGGGCTCCGTCTTCCCACCAGCCCTCACGGGGGGTGTGCCAAGGCTCCTTGCTAATTGAAAAACCAGTTGAACACAACCGGTTTTCTAGAGACTTAAAGGGTCACAGATCTGGGACACTGGGTGAAAAAAACCCATTTTTAAATGTGCAAGAGATTGTTTATGTAAAAAAAACCAGCCACAGTTACACTTTAACAACTTCCCTTTCTTTCCAGAAAGACAAGTACATGTTTCACGAGCTGTAACCACCCTTAGTTTCCCATGGCAGGACAAACCAGCGAAGATTCCTGCAAAATACAAACAGCACAACAACGAGCATTAATAATCCATGGCAATAAATTGCAAACTCAAAGGTTGCAGAAGCAGAAGTGGTGACTTTAAGCGGGTGATCAGCTACAAGGTTTTTCATCTCCTTGCCCTTTTCCCCCCCAGTGCCCTGCAGTGTGTTGGCTGGAGCCCACCCAGAGTCACCCACAGCAGGCTCCAGTGAATCTTGCAAGAGGATCATCAATTTTCACCCCGAAAAGAAGCCTCTTGTTTCAAGAGTAGCCCTGAGACACCACAGAAAGATACCACATCCCTCCCCAAAGCCCTTGCCTAACCATCCATCTGGTTACTTTGGTGTAACCCAAGAGATGGCTCCCGAGCACTTCGTTTCCAAAAGGTGATTAACACCCTCCCCTGATTAACACCCTCCCCACGCCCCGGCTCCCGCACGCCTGGAATGAGGTGCAGGTATTTATGGCTCCGGGAATAACCACAGCCTGCAGCCAAGCAGGGAGATCCCGGTTTTCCAGGGGCCTTTGCGCAGCAAAGAGACGGCTCCAGGGAAGTTTAAAGTCACTGCTGAGCAGCTTCAAGGCTGCCGGAGGAAAACGGGGAGCAAGTAAGGAGAGAACCGGGATTAGGGAAAGCTGCGGGAAGGCAATCCCAGCTTCAGGGTGAGCAAAGAGTTCCCGAGACTCCTAAAGGGGCTGTGAGTGCCCCCGATGCCTGGCGGGGACAGCCCCGCTCGGGGAAGGAAATCCCCGTCCATGGATTCATGGATGGCAGCGCCGGGCGGGCGGCCAGGGCAGGGCAGGCACTGATGGGCAAAGCAGATGTCGCTGCGGGCCCGGGGCCAAGGCTCAGCGGGAGTGATGCTGACCCAGGCGGAGAAAAGAGGCTCGGGAGGTGGAAGGGGCTCCGGGGGGACTCGTCCTCAGGACACACCTCCAGGAGAGCCGCGCCGAGGCTGCTCCTCCTCCCGGGGGGGGGAAACACCCTGGGCATCCCTGCAGGGTCGGGTCCTGCTGCTGCCGGGCACCGGGATAACTCAGCACAGCCCCACAGCCCCTAAACCTGCCCCGCGTTCACGGCTCAGCCCGCGCCGGGCGCTTTTCCTAAAACCTCACGCGAAGCCAAAAGAGGAGGAGCAAAGAGCAAGGAAAGAGCCCGGATATGTCCCCCGCTCCCACGAGTCAGCACTTTCAGTCCTTTTCTGTGACCCACAGGTGTGTTTCCCCCCATTTTAGGTACGCATGCACTAAGCCAAAAGAGGTGGGCTGCAGGTAACCCTAACCCCACTCCTTTTTCTTGTCTTTCCTTCTTTTACTCGCTACAGCCACCAAAATAATTTAATTTTTTTACTCTATACCCAGGCATTGACCTTGCTTAGGATCAACCCAGCATGGAGTGACTGGAGAATGGGAAATGGCTTCAGACTCACAGGCAGTAGGTTTACATCAGGCATTGGGAATAAATTCTGCCCTGGGAGGGTGGGGAGGCCCTTGAGCAGTTGCCCAAAGAGGTTGTGGACTCCCCATCCCTGGAAGTGTCCAAGGCCAGGTTGGACAGGGCTTGGAGCAACCTGGACTGGTGGAAGGTGTCCCTGCCCATGGCAGGGGATGGCACTGGATGAGTTTTAAGGTCCTTTCAACCCAAACCATTCTATCATTGTATGATTTTCTTCTCCAATCAAAATTATATCCAATGTAACCAAAATCAAGTCATAAGGTTAAAGATCAATCAAAATACAAGAAATAAGGATAAAAGTTACAGCTGCAGGGAGGAAAAACTTTGGAAGAGCCATTTTTTTTTTTCCATGGCAGAGCACATTGCCCAAACCCAACCATGAATCACCCCAGCAAAAGATTTGAGCTCATGGTTTGCCAGCAAGCACGAGGGTTCTCCTCCAAGAGGGTGGACCAACAGGGTCAAAACCTTTGCTTTTGGGCTATTTAGAGGTTCTTCACCCAGAAGAGACAGCTTGAACCTCTTCACTGCAATGATTTAGTTTTAAAATATCACGGGAAGTCATTTAAATGCAAACAAGCCATGGAAAATGTTAGCCTGCTGGAGAACTTGGGAGAAAGACAACTGAAAACAGAAGTGAGAAACGGGAAATTTTAGACTGTGGCTGCAACGCCACAGCATCAAGGGATTTTTTTTTAATTGTTATTATTATTATTATTTATTAGTTTAAAAAGGATTTTAAAAGCCACAGTCAGTAAGGTTTGGCCATTTTAGTTTCCCAAGGCCCCCTGAAAGCGAGTTGGAGCTCTTAGGAAATCAAAAAGCAGCTGTGCTGTGACATGCAGAGTCATTTTGGTAGGGACAACTCTCAGGAACATGCACTAAACCACACCAGCTCTTACTGCTCGAGCTGCCTCCGAAGCAGCTGTTAAAACATGCTGTAAGATATCAAAGCAGCTCTAATTAACTTCCTGCTTTAGTACTACTTCAAAGTATTTCAGAGGGTTCTCAAACCAGAGCTTTTGCAGGGCAGTTTCTAAAGGAAAGCAGTTTGGGGCTCATTCATGGTCGACTCCAAACACATTTGAGATTCTCCAGTTGCTGGTTTTGCTTAAAAAGTTGGTTAAAAAAGGCTCCATCCATAAAGCACTTTAACACATGGCATCACATATCCCAGGAGAACAAACCAGCCAAATGTCAAGACAATCAAATCCTTCTCTGAGCCATCACCTATAATCAGATGGGCCAGTCTGGTCCTTCCCAGGAATGTCACCTTTGGATTCCAACTCCGTTTTACCTGCAAAGGTTAAAGCACTTCTGGGGTTTGCAATGTCAGTGGGATTGTTGGGTCTGGCCGTGGGGACACTGGGGACATCTGTGAGCAGCTCCCAGCTGCAGCCTGGGCAGGGTTGGAGGGGATCCCAGAATCCCAGAATGGTTTGGGTTGGAAGGGACCTTACAGCCCGTCCAGTGCCACCCCTGCCATGGGCAGGGACACCTTCCACTAGCTCAGGTTGCTCCAAGCCCCGTCCAACCTGGCCTTGGACACTTCCAGGGATCCAGGGGCAGCCACAGCTTCTTGCTGTGCCTCTGCTCCCCCAGGGCCACCTCAAGCTCCTGAATGATGTTAGGTTTGGATCCACCCCCCATCTTCCTTTTTTCCAGTCCCAAGCCATGCTTATTTACCCATTGATTCTGATCTTTTTTATGGTCAGAGAGACACCCTCCCACATATCCAATCTACCAGGATCTCCACCATCATTATCCACTTAACAAGGACACCTTAAATTGCAAGTAGAGCATTAATCACTCCCTGGTGTCTTTGCCTGAAGCTCTGCCTCGCTCCATCCCCATCCCATACCACCCAGACCTACACACACACCCCCAACCCTTGCTATGCTTTGTGTAAAACATTTTTTTCCCCCAGAAAAAAAAAAGAAGTTGTCACAGCCAAAAATAGAACATTTTTCCGCTCCGAATAACAAGCAACATTCCTGGGAATTCAGACAAATAGCATTGGTCAGAAGAAGTCCCACAGACACCAGCGACATCCCAGAGCTGCTCCCATGTCCTGTGAAGCAGGAAAGCATTTGGGATCCCTCTTCCACCCACTGTGCAGAAGAAAATCAGAAGTGATGAGCCTGTTTCTCCATGAGAAAGTGTTGCTGTTCTCCAGAGGGCCTTTTTTTAATTTTAAATGATTTTTTTTTATTGTTTTAAAGAGAAAATGTCTCCTGAATAAAATCTGATGCCGTTTAGAGAACAAGTCTTACCCTGCCATCACTGTGCACAATCATCAATATTTTTACCAAGGTCCACATTTTCTATTTCCTATTAAAAAATATGTGCTATGTCCCATTATTCTATGCAATAAAACTTACACATAATAATGATTCTCTATATATTAGTGAATAAAATTATGTATAATTGCAAAACCATGTCCAATTGAAGAAAAGTTTGTAGACAGGAGACATTTTCAGGGAGCTTAAAACATCTAATTCGATCACTGTAGGTCCCTTCCAACTGAAAATATTCTCTTCTAATTAGTCACAAATCACCAAATTTGAATTTCAGTGGGAGTTGGTCTGAGTTTAATTGAATTTCTTTAGCAACAAGGGTTTTGATGACATCAAGGCAAACAGGGAGCTTCATTTTCAAAGGGTGGGATTTGGGTTCATTTTTGGGTGAATTTGGGTGGGATTCAGGGCTGGTTTTTTGGGGGTGTTTGTGGCTGGTTTTTTGGGCTAATTTGGGCTGGATTTGGAATAAAAACTGTATTAGCAGCCCTCTGCCTCTTTTGGAGGTGAAAATGCCCTCTTGCTCCATTTACTGGGGGGGGGGAAATATCCTATTCTATTAAACAGACTTGTGGGCAGATTTTACAGCACAGCCCAGAAGTATTCAATTTACTGCTAGTAAATTGAACAGGTGAGAAATCTTTCCAGCCCAGGATGGGTTTTTACTTTCTGATGGGAAAAAAAATTAAAAAAAAATCACTGACTTGGACACGGTTTTTCACGGGGAAACATCCATTTGGGCAGATTTGCCATGCAAGCAGAGGGGTCATCAACAGCCTGTCACAGGGAGAGGAGGGCAGGAGGGAGAGTTACCTGACTAGAGCTTCCCAGAGCTACCTGGAGAAAAAAAACATCGTGTTTTATTCTTGATTGCACCCAACTCAAGAGCAAGAGCTGAGCACAAGGCACCAGCATCGCCACAGGATGCTCCATCTGGAAGCATCCACGAGAAGATGCCAAAACCTGCACACACCTCACCTTTTCTTTGATTGTCCAAGTGCAGAAAAGAAGCTGGAAATTTCTGATCTTCTAATTTTTCGTGGGAGTGGAAAACTATCAGCATCTCAGCCTTGTGAGCAACCCCTGGAGGAGGAAGAGACCACCTAGGTGAGGTGGTAGCCATCTCCTGCTGGTTTGAGCCACCCCTGTCCCCTGGCAGAGCTGCTCTTTCCACCTGTGGGGCTTATGAGGGTGAGGTTATTCCACATCTAAGTCAAAAAGCAAAAAAAAAATAAAAAAAACCTCCATGTGCAAAGCCCAAAGCCCCTCAAGTCCTGTGTAAAGCTGACAGGTTTTGGACTTGGCCTCTCCCTGCACTCCCAGTGTCAGGGGTGTGCTGGCAAAGGCACTTGAGATGAGATGAGGCCCTAATTTAGGATCTAACCCAGTAAATGAATAATAATTACGTGCTACCCAGAGCTCAGCTAAATGAGAAAGGAAATAAAATCTGCAAAGCAGAGGATGGGAAGGTTCAGAGGACACCAGCCCTCGGGAGCACACACCTTGGGACGGGAGATCAGCACCTCGGGGCAGCAGCAGGGGGGAGTGGGTTTGTTGTTTGGCCTGTGGTGCCTCACCAAGGACAAACTCTGTGCTGAACAGCCATGTCCATGGAGGAGAGAGCATTTCCTATGGATTTATGAGCTGGTTGAGGTCCTCAGGTGCTGGACACGGCCTCAAACTTTGGTCTAGAGGCTCCTGCCATAAAAGCCCCTGGGTGAAAATCAGGTGGTTGCCACCTCCAGGCTGAAGTTGCCCGATATCAGCGTGTTCTGCCTCGGGAAAAAGAGCAAAAAAATTCCTTAAAAAGACGCTGTAGCTCAAGCTGAGGACACGGCTCCAGGTGAGGGAGCTGGGGAGGTCAGACCACAGCTATTCACAACCCCAGAGGGATCGGTGTCCACGGGAGGGGAGCAAGAGCGGCAGCTCTCGCACACGCGGCACGAAGTGGCTCTGCTTTTATTTATTTCTGCCACAAAGGCTAAAGGAAAACAGACTTTGTGAGACCACAGCTGCAACCTGAGCCGAGCTCGGCGGGGCCGGCGCAGAAATCAGAGCGGGGACCACATCAGCTCGTGGTGAAAGACCACAGATAAGATAAAAAAGTCAACTTTCAGCAGCAAATGGAACAAAAATTGAAGCTGCAGCCCCGAGGAGAGCGGAGCGCCCGGGGGCTGTAGCCGAGGGATGCTGGTGCAAGGCGTGAGCGCAGAGCACCTGTAGGGACACAAGAGGCTGGAAAATTCCCCCTGGGGCTTTGATCGAGTCCTGAGAGGTGAGAACGGAGCGTTTATTTGTTTGTTTAAGCGAGTACTGGGGAGACACCCCCGCAGGGGGGATTAACCCTTTCCCAGCCGCCTGCACCGTGTCACAGCCGTGTGACAGCACCCGCTGGCCCCAGCAAGCAAAGGGAATAAAAAGCCTGGCTCATCTCTCGAATGCAGCGAAGAGGAAGAAGACAGGTGAGAACCAACTCTTGCACGAGATAAAAAAAGCATTATCAGGCACAAGCGCCGCTAAGCCAGCTCATTAATTCAAAACGCTCATTATTCAGGAGCCACCGTCTCGCAGTTAAACTCCTTAATGGGCTTCAATTACAAAAAAAAAAAAAAAAAAAAAAGGAAACACGTGCCCGAGATGCTTGAGATAGAAAGTGCTGACTTTGATCTCGTGATTTTGAATTCAAGCATTTTAGCACAAACGCCCCATCCGCCGTGTCGGGGCACACCTGTGGGGCTGCTCCTGCCGCCCCAAAGCCCCGGGGAGAACCAGCCTTGCCTGTCCCCCCGCCCGACCATCACCAGCCCCCGGGGACAGAGGGGAGGATGACGCCAAACCGCGGCCCCTGGGGGGATGCAAAGCCCGAACGCGCGGGTCCGGCGGGCACAGCTGCGCGGGGAGACACGGGGGGCAAAGGCACGGGCGCCCCGGAGATGCTTTTTGCCCCGGCATGAAGCTCTGGAGAAGCCTTTCTTGCACGAGTGTGAAGTTCAGACTGGAAGACTGTTCAGCCCGGGGGGTGTCTTTGCCGGAGGTCTGCAAAGAGGCAGGTGGCACAGGTCGGAGGAGGGAGGACTGGCCGCCTGCTGCCTCTTCCAGGAGTGACTGACTGAAGTTAAGGAGATGCTTCCTCACCTCACTCAAAAGCTCATAGGACCTGTAAACCCCCTGGCTGAAGATTCAGCGGATGCCAAGAGTTTATACACCAGTTTGAGGGGAAATGGGACCAGTGCTTTGAAGATGAGCTGAATAAACAAACCACTTCGGGCTCAGGAAGTCCCTGGCCACCAACTGGTTTTGGTTACAGGCTGGTCTTGCGTGTGCATCCCCTGTTCTTACTCATCCCTGAACAGCCACAGAGGCAGGACACCCATTTCCACCAGCCCCAAACCCAAACGGCCGCAGAGTTACGCAGATGTACACTCAAAACTGTCCTTCTTGTATTTTAAGGCTTCACAGCAAGACACTGAGCTAAAAAAAACCAACCAAAACCACAAAACCAACCCCCCAAAGCAAGTAGTGAGCAATGGCCAATTCAATTCTTCTCTCTCAGGTTTCCCCTTCCACCTCCTTGTCCAGACATCTCAGCTTGCCTGTCCCTCTCCTCTTGCCTTCCCATTCTCCCTGCAGTTAAGCCGAGCTTGCTTTGTCTGAAGGACTTCAACTTTTGGGAAAGTCAGAAGGCATTAATCAAACGCTCTGTTGTGCAACTCTTTCCATCATCGAGCTGCATCTGGTCCCCAGGGTCCCTTAATTCTTCATTAAGAAAGTGCTCCATGTGGAAAGAGGCGAGAGAGGACTTGGGCAGCACTTCACAAGCTTTGCTGAACGCGATTATGCACGGCTTGAAATGAGCCACTCCAGCCCCACCAACAGATGAGCAAATGTGCCAAACACCAGTGCTTTTGTCAAAAGGGACAGAGACAAGTAGCAGTGGGGCCACCTCTGCCATGAGTCATCATCTTCCTGGCAGCCTGACGGGGAGAGATCACCCAGGGCTGCAGGTACAGAGCATCAAACCGAGAGCAGGGAGGAATGTCTGACCTGCCAGCGACTGTTCTGGGGCTGAAACCACGCAGGACAGATCAGCTCCCGTGCAAGTGCTGCAGGAAGTGGGCTGGTCTGTGAACAGCTCAGCCAGAGACACGCACCAGATGACCTGGGCACGGTGTTCCAGCCCAGAAAGGTCACGACCTCCTGTTAGAGAAATGCTCTTCAAAGGGAAGGCAAGTGTTGAAGTGAGAACATCAGGCTGCAGCCACCGGTTTGTCAAACCCACAGCTTGAACATCTTGACACCAACAGAGTTTTTGGACAGCACTTCCTGGCCAGCTCATGCCACAGCATTTACATGAAGGTGCAGTTACTGGTACAGGGTCCCAAACTGCTCTCAGAAAATTGTCTTGTGCTAAACAGATCCCAAACTGATTTCCTCTCCCAGCCACGTTGCTTAATTCCCTCTTCACAGAATCACAGAATATGCTGAGATGGAAGGGACCCACAAGGATCATCAAGCCCAAGCCTTATCCCTGCCCAGGACCATCCCTGAGGCTCACACCCAGTGCCTGAGGGTATCAACAGCCAGTGCAAGTGACTCCAGGGCACATCCACCTCCTCCTGCCACCTCTTCCCACCTCCTCTGGCAAGACCCAGTGGAATGACCACTTCAGGGGGTGCATGTGCACGAGATTGTGTTCACCCATCCACCTCCTGGTGTTGGGAAACCTGTCAAATCCTTAAAAAACAAGTCCTACCTTCCCAGAGGAGCCTGGAGTCCTGCTGTTGCACTGCTCTGAACCAAAGGAATTAAAATTTCCCACTTCAGAGTTTTCTGGCTATGAGGTCAGGGAATGAGAGGGATGAGGATGAAGGGAGAGGGAAAATCTCTGCTAAGCACAGAACTTGAGCAAGCAACCCCAGCTAAGCTCCTGGTCACAAGCTGGGACCTTCACCTCTTCACCAAATACCAAATCTGGCCTTCCAGACATTGGTCAAGAGGTATTTTGCCAAAGCTCAGGTTTTTGTCAAACAGGCAGAGTTTTACCCTATGTGAACATAAAAGTTTGGTAGATCTGATCTTAGTCCCCTAAAATAAGATCTCCAGGTCTCACTTGCCTGGGATGTCAGTTTGTCAGACGGGGCTGTGGAGATGAAGGAGGCAAAGTGTGTTCCTTGCAGCATCTTTCTTTTTCACTTCACCCTTCAGGGGAAGGCAGAGCATTCCCTGGAGTGCTGCTGCACAGAGCCAACCACAACAGGGTGTTTGGGCTTCACCCTGAGGTGCCATCAGAAGTCAAATGGTGAGAGGAAGATGAAAGCACGTCAAGAAATCCTTTTCACTCAAGGAAAGCAACCTGT